TCCTCCTCCTCCTCCCGGCGCGGGCCCGGGGCCTCCGATGCTGCCGCTGCCGCCTCGTCGTCCGCCGCCTCCTCCTCCAGCTGCCCGCTGCTAAGCCGTGAGGGGCGGGGGCCCTCGGGACCCCGCCGGGGACATGGGCAACGGGATGTGCTCCCGAAAACAGAAGCGGATTTTCCAGACCCTCCTGCTCTTGACTGTGGTGTTCGGCTTCCTCTACGGGGCGATGCTCTACTACGAGCTGCAGGGCCAGCTGAGGAAGGCTGAGGCCACGGCGCTCAAGTACCAGCAGCATCAAGAGTCCCTCTCAGCTCAGTTACAAGGTACTTACCTCGGCAGGAGCCTCTGCCGCCCTTTCCTATGGCTTGCGGAATACCCTCCTTCCTCCTCTGGGGAAGTCTGGGCTCCAGCTGTCCAGCCTCTCGCAAAGATTCGCTCCTTAGGCGCTTCTAACCCTTCTCTCCCTCCAGCCTGTGGGGTTTTGGTATCTAACCGCGGGTAGGAAGGATCCTAGCCCTGCTGAAGTCAGTGTGAGTTTTTGTCGCGGACTGCTAGAGAGCTCGCGTTCCCCCTCGCTCCCACACATTTTATAGAGTGACTCTTATTCCCAAAGGACTGCGCATCACTTTGGAATTCCCGGTGTAAACGGAAAAGGCAGGCGTGCTGCCCACCGCTCATCTAACAGTACAGACCACGTCTGGTTGTGGGACCTTTGCGTGCTTCTGTGTTGTCTTAGGAGTATTAATTTTATGCTGCTGAGAGAACATGCGGCTGCAAAAATGCAAGGCTGCAGTTCCTGGGCAGCATAAACCTTAAATAGCTCCAGGAGGGAGGAGAGGAGTATGTTAATAAAGCATTTTTTTAAAGGGTAGTTTGAAAGTAAAGTTCAAATAAGTTATTTGGATATGGCTATTCTATTGCTTTTGGCATAACTTTGAATTTCGTGGCTTAAAGGTGCCACATAAATACAGATCCTTGTGTATCTTGGTTTAAGGAGGCACCAAATATCGGCATCCTGTACTTGAAGATGAAAAGATGCCGATGTCTGACATCTGCGTGTCCAGAAATCAGATGCAAAGCAGCAGGTATACATGTGAAGCATCAGTGCTCTAGGAAGTGCAAGACCTCAGCGCCTCTCTAATTGTCAAGTGCAAGGTTATCAGGTCAGCATATACAAAGTCCAGAGCCAACTTTCAAAACTCTTTAGAGTTTTATTTCTCAAATCCCTATAAAACAAGAATAAGAGTGGTCTGCTGTAGCAGCTGTAACAGTACTTAACTTCAGGGTGATCTTCAACCATACTTTTCCCTGTGAAAGCATACATAAAAGTGTGCATAGAAGCATACAGTTCTTACGCAGAGAGTGCAGAATCGGGCTTATGCTGTTAGATTCTTATAGTGATTTGTTACTTGAATACATTTAGCTACGATCTGAGACCATTGTTACTTAGTATTACATTTTCAGGACGTTTCCAGGTAGTGCCATGGAAACATTTGACAGAAACCTTCATTTTAGTCACGAAAAAGATGTAAATGTTTGGCCAGGAGGTGGGTATGTGGCAGATGGCTAAAGGGCTACTTTTGCTAGTTTGTATATTTGCCAACAGTATTTGAAGAGGACACAGGAACATCTTGTTCTCAAGCTAAAATTCAACAAGTTAGCTTTTTCTGTTGCTCTGGCTATACCAAAGAGGAGCATGCAACAAACTTTATCCTAACACAGAAGAGAGATTCTCTTGATCAGATTATATTGGGTCTGGACTGTTAGTTTAAACTTTACACATCTGAAACATTATTTTGAGTAGCCATCATCTATCCCAGCAAGTTCATGGAAGCAGCAGGTAACTAGTAGTTGATAAATGCGGTGACAGTGCTGCATTTTATGTAAGTATTCTCTTGCTTGTTTCAGTATAGCAATGAGAAATGTAAAGTACAGACCGGAATCCAAAAACATTAATACATTTGATTATCAATGCAATAAATTCACGTGGTTCTGGGACCCATGCCAATGTATCAAGCCTATTAAGCAGGAGATCTGATCTATGCTAGTATGGTAGCAGTAAACTTTGTTTAAAGAACAATAATTACTAGCAATTAAGTCACAGAATACAGGGAAAAATACAATGTAACAATAAAATTGGTTCTTTAAATTTGCCTGTATTATGGCAATAGCTAACATACCTAAAAGAGGCTGAGAGCCCAGAGACACACTAAACGCAGCAGCAAGCTTTAGATGCCTAATCTCCCACTAAAGTAAATGGAAGCTATATGTCTAAGGACTTCAGAGGATTTGAGCCTAGTGTGCTAGAAATAAACTTTTCTTACCTGTCTTTTCCTGTGCCTTTAGTGACTCTTTCTGGGATTGCCTTCCCCGTATAGTTGCTTGGATTTTTGCAGTAGGAGTTTATTAGTGAGGAGAACATATATAATTCAGAACCTGTGCCTATGCGCAGCTCACCCAGAGATACGCAAGCACCATGCTAACTGATGATGTACAACACCAGAACCATTTCTGAACCTTTCCTATTTAACTCTTGATATGGAACAATAGGAAGGAATTTTCTTTAAACACGAGACTTTGAAACAACATAAAATGCTGACAGAAAATCCTGTGTTTGCAGGTGCAGTATTTGACTGCACTTTGAACTTTTGATTTTAAATGGCCTGGATTTTAAATCAACAATATTTCTGTTGCCAAACAAACAAAAAAAAACCTCTAAGAACTTCTAGGCTACATCTGTTTTATGACCTTAACAACATGAGAGATTATTCTTTTATGAGAACAATAAAATGCATCACTACTAAAGTAGTGCAGCTTACCTTTTCCATGCAGTGTAATCAGTTTCTCTGTAGATACTGGTCTGGAGGTAACTTTGGGGTGTGGAGTTTGATAGGAGCACTCTGAAATCTTTTAAACAGGAACCAGTTAAAGGGCAAGATCACTGACATAGCATTGCCAGGAGGAAAAGAGGGTGCAGTATCAACAGTGGTTGATTTCTTAGTGCTTACAGCTCTCTTCTGGGTGATTAAATAAGACTTCACAGCTCATTAAAAGCTGAGGAGGGAACTGAACCTTGGACTTCTACTTCCTGAACAACTGTTTCATCAGTAGGCTTTTATTGTTTTAAATAAAAAAAAAAAAAAAGCAACTCTTTAAAGTTGATCTTTTGAGGATCCTGAAGCTGTATTGTGCCAGGCTAGCTCTGCTCCTGGAAGGCCGACTGGATTGAAACGCTTGGATGACAGTGAAATATCACCTGTTTTCTGAATTTTGATTGGGTTTTGTTGTGACTGTTGGTGCCTATAAAGACATTTGTTTTCCTGTTTGTACACAGAGGAACACTCTCAGGGCTTCTGGGTGAAACCTGAGTCAGTTTATGAAATGCTTAAGGATCATAGGCCACTCCTAAGTTTATGTACAAGGTCACAGTTTTGCACCTGAATGCCTTTGGTCTGCCCAAAATCTTAAGAAGGATCCTCAGTTGTAGCTTGGAGTGCAGCCTCCCTTCGCTTACTACTGTCCCCTCTAATATTTTTCTGTCTTTGTACATACAGTTTTTTAGGTTTTTCGTCTATGTAGGTGGTAAGAACCTTCTTTTTGGTACTTGCCTGTTCTTCATGCCTGAATGAGCAGCGCTTTCTGTTTTTGCTCGAAAAGCCAGTCATCTTAGATTTTTATCTTTCTCATTGACTTGTTTTGCTCAAACGCAGCACATGAAGCAGGCTAAATCTTCTGTATAGGTGGGAAAATAGCACTCTCATCACTGAAAAATGGTGCAGGAAGAGGTCTCAAAATCATTTAACCCATGCACCTGAACTGAAGAGGGCTGCATATGACTGTGGTTGTAGGGAGTTCTGTTTTGTCTGGTCTTCACAGCTTCAGCTACTCAGCTGAGAAGTATTTGGGCCTCTTGAAGTAAGACCAGGGTGCGAATGGAAGGATGGCAGACTTGGGGAACATGGTAAGAACAACTTGCTTGGAGAGGCTGGGATCTTAAGCTCACCTCCTTTAGACAGTTCACGTTGTAGAAGGTTTTGTATTTGAAAGTGAAACTTCCCACAAAAAAGAATGTCAAACTTTGGCATTTTTATCTCTTTAACAAAGTTCTGATGGGCATGGAGAAAGTAGGGCAGCTTTTGTAACACACAAAGGGAATACCAGAGGCAAAATTTAGAGATGACACAAAATTTCTTGGCTGCTAAGAAAACCTGAAGTCATTCATATCTATAAGGTCTTTTGTAGAGAAGCTGATCTTCCCAGTAAGCCGATTGTTTTTAAATCTCATTCTCTGAGCATTATATGTTCAAAAAATGAAGATAATCTTATTTAGTATTTCTTAAAATGATAAAACCAAAATTTGACACTCTTTGCCTCCTACAAAGATGCGTCAAACTAAGTCTTAAATTATTGGCCATATAGGAACAGACTTCAGTTGCTAGAACAGAAATGCATTAACAGCTGTAGATGAACCTGATCGTATCTTTGACTGCTTCAAGATTGAATGTATCTACAAATGTCTTTTTAGCCCTTACAGTTTCTGTCTTCTCATCCTCTGGGTATTAAGTAACCCCTTGTGTACTATTTTAATCTGTTTAATCTGTTTTAATCCCTAATCCTAATAGCAGCCTACATTTAGTGCCTTTTACTACCTTAATTTTCTTGCTCTTTATCTTGGAGTCTTAACGTATCTGGTGGCTTCAGGCAATCTCTGTGCAGTCTGAGACCGTACTGTAATCTTGGGAGCCAGCCAGCAGGGACTCTGGACTTGAGAGTTCAGAGTTTGTCCTACTGTAGACAAGGTGTGGGTTTCCTCAAAGCTGTCTGATCCAGTGCTACAAAGCACCAGCTGAAAAGCAAATGTAGAATTCCTCTGTGCCTGTTGTGCCACTTGTCCTAAACCGAGGCCCCTCCTTGGAGGTGACCTGCTAGAGGTTGATCGGATCTATAGCAGCTCTATGTATAGAGGCTTGCGTAATGCATCACAGTTCATAGTTCATATCACTAGATCATAGTTCCGTGTAACTTTATTGGTTAATATTTATTATGTCTTTCTGCATGCTAACTACACAGAGCCAAAGCTGTTCTTAGTGAAGTACATACAGATGTGGATGTACTTCCCTATCTCACCCCTCTTTCAGAGTACTCTATTTAAACTTGTACCATAAGTTGGCAGAGCTAGGAAGAACTAACAGTACTTTTGATGGCTTATTTTTCACACGCGTCATACAAGTAGAGCTACATCTGTGCAGTTCCTGTATGGGTTGGTTGTTCTCCGTAATAACAGCAGCCTGAATTCCTGTCATTCCTATTGGTTTCAGATTGC